GGGGGGTGTGGGTGGGGGGGGGGGGGGGGTGGGGGCGCGGGGGGGGGTCAGGGGGGGGGGGTGGTCGAAGGATTCGTTTGTAGGATTTTCGGAGAGATTTGACGCTCTGATCTGGGCTCAGAACCTGAGGTGAGATTTGTGTTTCACCATGTATCTGAAAAGTGAGAAAGACGAGGGAAGGGTGAGTTTGTGCAATGCCATCATCTTAATGAACATCATTTAAACGGCTGAATGATAAGATGGAGCAGCAAAGGAGTGAAAGAAACAGATGGGTGTACGTAAAATGCTAAAAAATAATAAAGACAGACCTGTCCAGGGTTTCCCAAAAGCGCAGGAAGACGGGTCGGTCCAGATGGCGCCTGTGACGGCTCAGCTCCAGGACGGTCACATCCCACTTCTGCACGTTGGGGTCTATCTTCGCCTCATCATACTTCAAATGAAAGGCTCGGACTGGAGGGGAAACATGCATGCACACATTTATATGGACGCATCTGGTTTGAGGGCAGAAATAAACGAGTCATATTCAGTGTCACGTATAAACCGTGTGCTGTCGGCATTTACCTCAAACAAATATTGTGCTGCTTATCTTTTGCTAGCTGGACGCACAACATTCTGCTTTCACAATTTCATGCGTTAAAGATTTGTATGAAATTATGTTTTTTTTAGTCGATTATAGGGCAAGAAATCATAGATTGCAGGTTTGTTGACTTCTACTCATAACAGCAGATAATGCCGCTAGATTTCATTACTACACAGAACTCTCAAATCCGGCCTGTGAAGGTTGTAGCTGTAGATTTCAAACTTATTTTCACAATTAATCAATTATATATTTAGTTCAAGGTGATGTTCTTAAATGTCTTGTTTTGTCTGAACAATCTAAAACCAAAAGATATTCAGTTTCTAATCATATAAAACAGAGAAAAACTGAAAATCCTCAAGTTGGAGGTGCTGGACGAGCATGTTTGGCGTGAATCAGATCCACGCACATTTAGAAAACTTAAGTGGAAAAAACCCTGAAAATATAAAAAATATAAAAACAGGTGTTTATTTGAGCTTTGTCTGAGGCAGCCAAACACTGCGTAGTACAGACTCTGTATTTTCTATGTGACCAATCATCACTCAAGTTACAGATCATTTAAAGATTGCAGCCACTCTGTCAACATAAGCAACCACAGGCTGATGCCTACTCATGTGTGTTACATAGTTCAGTGTAGCAACACTTTTGAAAGGAGTTTTCTGTCCACATTACTTACTTTTGGCAAAAATGTCGACAGGAGATCCATCTGGCAGCAGCCACGGCCAGCCTTTGAACTGCCAGGCAGGACCCTGCACAAATACAGCCACCACTCGATCCCTGCAGGAAGACACATTCATTGGTTGTTGTTGTGGTGAGGAGGAGACATTTTCAGCCCTTTTTCTACAGCAGGAACTCTCCCCAGGGACCAGGAACCTTTTGAGGAACTCATTGCATTTTGTCAGTTTAATACAGTAGCTAGGGGGGTTGGGGGTTCCTAACCACTAGCCCTATCTGCTATCTGTTAGAGACAGAAGTAACTCCTCAACCATAGGGCTACTCTGCGTATATATATGGGGGGGGGTCCAGGCAATGGACGTGCTCACCAGTCCTGTGGAGCCAGTTTCAGTGGCTGATCAATGATCCGGTAAGGCACAGTGACACTCAGCGTTGTGCCTCCAGGCTGGACCTGGTCTTTGCGCCTCTGAAGCAAAACTTCATTATCGCGCTGGTTGCCCTGCTTCTTCTTCTCTTCTGGCGTGACGAACCTGGTGTCGTACAAACAAGATGTATAAAACTACTTCATCTCATTTTGTGTTGAAACTGTTACAAAAATAATGTTTATTTTCTTGAACTTTGACTGTTGCTTATTCAGTCATGAACATTTGATGTTATAAAGAAACAAAGAAAGATACGATATGAGAGTTTTCAAAGCGTTTTGTTAAAGCTCTGTGTGTGTAATGCAATGCTGAAGGCCTAAGTATCTCTCATTCAACTATAATAAGGAGAGACGACTCACTTCAGGTCCTGAAGGAGTTCCTTCGCATTGAGCATCGTGATGAGTGAGGTGGTGGCAGCGGGGATGATGACGATGGGTGTCCGGGACCCTGTAGAGAGAGTTAAAAACAGGTAGTGTTGTAAAGACAATCAATGAAACGCATTTATATGACACAAGAGAAACCCAGAACCATGAAAAAAATAGACAAAGGTTTGTAAATGAATGTTGCATTACATAATGTCGAGAAACTGCATTTAATATGATGAATACTGAGTGAAAGCAACTTGCCTTTCTTCTGATTGGGTGGAGGTCTGGCTTGTGAAACTGGAGGGAATAGAAAAATGTGAAAAGTGAATGTACACACAAACACACCTGTAGACTCCCTTACATTTGGTAAATAAAATAAATAGGTAAATAAATACAAATGATCCTCGGTGAACCTGCTTTGCTGTTCTACTGGTACAGGTCTGCGTCTCCTGTTACGGTCAGTATTAGGGGCTCAGGTAGCGATACTAGAAAGGTATGGCAATACCCTGTCGTTAAAATGTTATTCCATTACTTCTCCTTTATTACCTTGTACTTCCTGTTATCTATTCGCTGCTGTAGGGCAAACATGTCACAGTCAGCGAGTCTAATCATTTACTACAAACACGTCCGATGCTGCTTTGTTGCGCTCTCACATGTTCTCCAGCATTCTGGGCCTCTATTGGCTAAGGAGTGAAACAGACATGGGATTCTTCTCTCCAAACAAAAGTCTCTTTCACAGACAGTTTCATGCAGAAAACATGCACATATTTCTATGCTGTGTTCATGTGTGGCAGACGTCAAAATTACAGAGACTGTGACCTCGAAGTTTTGTGCTTAAGTTCGTTGTCACTTTTCTCTGAGGGGAAGCGAAAGCGGAAGCTCTGCTTGGTCAAAGCCAAACATTGAGTAATCGTATGACACCTGGTCACAGAAATTTTTTCTATGTTTGCTTTTCTTTCTTGAACAACGTTAAATTACCTTTTGATGGTGCACCTTTAGACCTGCCGAGCCTGAGCAAACACTGTGGAAACCACTTACGTGTCCTAGATACGGGAGATGCAAATCACCACTGCCATCAAGTTAGTTGAGAGCCCGTCTTGCCACACATCCGTAAGTTGTCTTCGTAAGACTTTTAGCAACTACACAGCTCCTAAAAAAATTCTTCTCACTTCACATTTGGATTGTGCAACCTTTAAAAACCCCCATTGTATTACAATGTAAGCAGACACATGCATGCATGTACTTAGATATGTTGAATTAACACCAACCTGGACGAGGGACAGGCTGCAGCGCAGGAGTCTGGGCCTTCCGAGCAGATGCTCCTTCCTGGAAAACATCCAAAAGGTCATATTAATAAATGTACTATGCCTTCAACCAACTACTAAAAAACACAACTCAAGACTGAGACACATGAGGGAGTAGAAGTTGAACAGTTTAAAGGCTCGGACACACCACTGTCTGTGAATGTCTGTGGTAGGGAAGAACTATTCAATCATTTATCGAAGGAGTTCGAGGCTTTAAAAAAAAAAAAAATGTAGAATAAGAAAAAAATTGCATTATGAGGAAACAGAAGTTTCATTTAATAGCTGTGACAAATAGTTTAGCATTTTAGCTTCTTAAATTAACCGCATGACTAAGCAATTACCAGATTTGTTGGCGACTGTTTCAGCACAAGTTGATTTGACTCGCTCTTTCTCCATGACAGGAAAGACACACAAAGCTGTCGCTCAGCTGAGACCAACGTGGCTGTCCAGCCCAGCGAATCATTTCTAACACCACTTCTTTGAAAAGACCACAAGCCGACACCATCAGTGACAAGCAGCCAGTTGACATTTTCAAATGATGTCGTCTCGATTCAATTTACAGGTTAACGTGTGTCCGGAAATGCGCCCGGTGAGGGCCGGCTAGCACCAGGGAGACGTCCCACCGAGCGACCGTGGCTGAGCTGGGTCATGATATTGCTGAACAATCCAAAATACGAAGCTTCAAACTGTTGGAAGAGACCTGAGTGAAGCTCCTGTTATCGCACTCAAAAGGTCCCTTGAAATACATTATTCAAACCATGTTTCCTTCGTACAAATAATGAAGAGTGTGAGGATATTTTACAAGATTCATTTAGAATCTCAACCATCAGTAATTGGAATTCATATGAAAAAGCTAGTAGTACTTGTAGTAGTACTAGTAGTATTTTACTAGTAGCAGATAGCATTCCCTTCCTGTCAACTGAAGCCAGGAAAGTTCATTCCTGCCATTCAAAGCAACACAGATGTCAAAACTGAGCGTCGAGAAAGCAAATGCTCTTAACCAAAGCCGGGGATTAGAGGATAACATCGGCACATTGTCAGCATTTTACGATAACATAATAAAAAAATACTATGAGTGGGCTCCGAGGGCTGTTGAAATTCAAATGCATCTGCTCTTATCTCCTCCCACTAGCTGCAGGGCAGAGTCCATCAGCACCACTGCAGGATCCCTGTCAATTACAGATACACGGCTTGTCTGCAGCCCTTGTACTTCCTGTCCAGTTTAAGTACACTTGCACCAAGAGATCCTCTCCTCCACATCGCAGCTTTACGATACAGATTGCAATGTTGTCCATATATTGGCCGCGTAAAGAATATGGCTCCCAGGAAATACCAGTATGTCTGTTGAGAGAGATGCTTTAAAATTTGAGTGTGAATGGAAAACACAACGTAACCCTTTTTCCCTTTGTCTAAACCTCATGTTATATAGCGATTACATTTAAACATGATACATTTCAAAAGGTGAGCAGAGTGCATCTGAAGGGATCATGACCGCCAATGAGCAGATATGCAAAACAACAAGCACCCCTCCTCCCTTGTCCTCCTCTGAGAAAGAGAAACAATGGCAGGGCAGACCACCATGGCTGAATGAGCACAGCAGACACATTGCTGTAATTATTTGTTTTCCATCACTATCACCTAACACGAGAGACTGGCAGGAAACACATTAAAGACTGCAACTAAAGAGGCTTTTGACGTTTCACTGTCCGAGAAGAACGCTGTCAGCTGACGTTTCACATCTTTCAATCACATTATGCTGTTCGCAAAACTTGAAGTGTCAACATGTCTCCTTTTACTTTCACAGCACGGCAAATTGAGATAATGCTTTATTCCTCTTTCTGGACAGTGGGCGTGAATACAAATAGGTCAGCAGCCCCCTCCCCTCCCCCCCCCTCCCCTTTAACAGAGCAGATAGCAACAGCAGCAGAAACGGCGTGACGTGGTGGGAGAGCGTACTGCCACCAAGCCTGGGGCTGCCTTTTCAGAGCGAACACACAACTCACAGCGCTGCCTCCTCTTGATCTTCCTCCTCCCCCGCTGCTTTCACCCCCTCTAGCCCTATCGCAGACAACACAGCGGCCGCACAGAGCCGAGTGCGAGGGGCGGCTGTATGGGGAGGGTGAGAAGAGGAAATTGGAAACAAAAAAAGGAGAGAGGAGCACATGGGGGGGGGAGGGATGTTAACACGAGAGCCTGTGAATGGAAGAGGAAGAGAGAGAGGAAAAATAGGAACAGCACAGAAACGGAAGAAATGCTGAACGAACGGAGAGATGTAAGGCTTGTATATCATCCTGAGATGATCCCCGTCTGTCCACTGCTGCTTTGTTATACACAATACGACAAGCGAGGACAGTGAAAGGACCCACGGCTGCAGCCAACTGTCAACCACCGACCCTCTACTCCTGTTGGCCAGAGGCAGCAGCAGCACCGTTAGCATCAAGCCTCTCGGGACAATGCGCCAAGACTGAGACTGCAAAACGGGAGCTCTGACACATGTTCTGCACGCACACGCACACGCACACGCACACGCACGTGGTAGATAGCTACGAGTGCATGGAAGAGGACCACATGTACCCACCTTTCTGACTAACAGCCACATGTGGGTTGGGCTAAAAAGGAATAAAATTTGTCAGACGTCGTAGAAGAAATAAATGAGGAAATAAGTCGACCAGTCCAAGCGGTTTGTGATTTGGCTAAGAGCACGATGGACGCAGTGACCAAGAGAGCCATCATCGTGTGAGGATTGTAATTTATTACATTTACAGATGATGGATGCCAAAAAGAGAAGAGTAGTTTGAGTAAAACGGGTGAGTTTAAAATGCAAATGCACATCAACACAGACAAAATGAGTCATGCTGCTAAATCAAAGACTTATTTATTTATAATATATATATATATATATATATATATATACATACATACATCATCCTGTATTGTACAGGATGTGATATATATATATCACAGGATGTGAAGGGTGTGCCAAGATTAAAGGAAACAGATGCTTCAGCTTGGGGTACTTTAAAGGTTGTGTGTAATCCAGGCAAGAACAGAGATCACACCACTTCAGGATGCTAGCAGCAGGCCAGAACAGGTTGGTTTTTCTATAAGAATTCATCATCTGGATGCTGTTCAAGTGCAGAATGTTGAGTTGAGAAAGCAGAACACATTCTGTTTATTCTCATCCTGAAAACAACAGAAGCTAAACAGAAGATGTCCAGTGATCAGTAGTCATGAAGATGTGAAAGTAACGTCGAGAATAGTCTGCAGTTTATTTGTGTCGTACATTAGCCTGCTGTGCAAACATCCATCCATCCATCCATCCATTTTCCTTCGCTTATCCGGGGTCGGGTCGCGGTGGCAGCAGGCCAAGCAGGCTGACCCAGACCTCCCTCTCACCGGCAACATGTTCCAGCTCATTCTGGGGGATCCCGAGGCGTTCCCAGGCCAGCTGGGAGTGTGCAAACACTGAATACTAAAGATGTCTGCACCGTCAATCAGTGTTCCTGCTTCAGAGCGTGTAAGAAGTTTGTCGTTTGTACAGATAGTATTTTAGCATTACGATAGAGAGAGTTGTGCGGGAATGAGTCAATGAGAGCGGTGAGAATGAGAGCCGAGTGCCGTAAAATCCAAAATATTGATAAATCACCCCATAGATTTGACGGTAACGACACAGTCGGGTCATAATTATGTGTTCGTCACATAGGACAACACCTTTCACATAAAGCAGCTTAAATGCGCCATGTTGTATCATCTTGTTGCTCAAATATGTGCCTTCTTGTGTCTTCCAGGCAATCACAAGACATGCAACAATAGAGAGGACTCAGACCTGACAGCTGGCTTGTCGGACAACAATACTGTCTGCGATTGTCAACTGATTTACATACATGGAAATGAGCGATCATAATTGGGGCCAAGGACCGCTGAGCTAACGATTGACATTACAAGCGTGACAGCGGTCTGAGTGAATTAGTCCTGCTGAGACCATGCAGTGGAGACGACGCCACTGCTGTGCACAGACAGCTAAGTTTATCTCTCTCCTCTTACTGTTGGGTCTTCTGGTCTTTCTGGTCCACCAGGTGTGGGTGCCGAAGCGCACAGGTATGCCATGGTGGAGAGGCATTCCTGTGGTGTACGGAGGTAGTGAACTTCACCCAACCACACCCAAATGGAATCCGAGCGCACCACATTCAGCGTGGAGGTTCATCATTGTTCCTCAGCAGAATCTCAAGTCTGACGCTAACATCAGCTCCCCTGAGAAGGAGGGCGTCTCCTCTCCTCAAGGAGACCCAAGTTTTGAAAACACTCTGGCAGCCAACACTAGCCAAAGTGTAGAGGGAGATCTTCGTAGCACTATAACCCACGGGCCTTTCCCTTATGTCATCAATGAGCCAAACAAATGTGCAGACAGCAGACCTGCATTTCTGGTGTTGCTGATATCCACTGAGGCTCGGCAGGTGGAGGCAAGAAATGCCATACGGCAGACATGGGGGAACGAGAGCGTGGCTCCTGCTCTGGGATTCATCCGGCTGTTTCTGCTGGGGAAAAATGAGGGAGAGCTGGGACTTTTACAGCAAAGGATGCTGGAAGCAGAAAGCCGAAGGCATCACGATATCATTCAGCAGGACTTTCTGGATTCCTACAAAAACCTGACCACAAAGACATTAATGGGAATGAACTGGGTGGCAATTCACTGCCCACAAGCCGGCTATGTCATGAAGACGGACAGCGATATGTTCGTGAACACAGAGTACCTCATTTACAAGCTGCTCAGGCCAGAACTGAAGCTGAAGAAGAACTACTTCACAGGCAATAACATGAGAGGCTATGCACCCAACCGAAACAAAGACAGCAAGTGGTACATGCCACCTGAGCTGTACCCAGGTGAGAAGTATCCCACCTTCTGCTCTGGGACTGGTTATGTCTTCTCTGGAGACCTGGCGAGGAAAATCTATGGTGCATCACTAAGGATCCGCCAATTGCATCTGGAGGATGTGTATGTGGGAATATGCCTGGCTGAGCTCCAGATCGAGCCGACTCCTCCACCCAACGAGTTCCTGTTCAACCACTGGAGGGTGTCTTATTCCAGCTGCAAGTACAGCCTTCTGATAACATCACATGGGTTTCATCCCAATGAACTCCTTAAATACTGGCATCATCTCCAGAGTAACAAACACAATGCCTGCATGAACACGTTGAGAGCAGTCAGGACTCACTCAAACAGAATGACCAGAGAGAGACCAGCTACATAACTTATTAAACTCTCCTTGTTACATACAAATAATGAATTATATCTCAGCCCGTTCTGTTCTTACCTTGACACCAAGGGATTAATCCACAAAGTTATTTGGGAAGACAATAAAAGTTCTGCATATATGTTGTGTAAAATCTGATGAAGTGCGTTACGATTATTGTCGAATATTTTATACAAAACAGATGAAAAATGTTTATATGTCTGAGTCAAACCACTGGAGAGTTTATGTACACCATAATATCTTTCAATAGAATACGCTGTGTTTCACTGTGGTGCAAAGGGTTCTTTTTGTAGTAATGTAAGATTTGCTGTATGTGTTTTATATCTGCTGCCTTACAGGTACAGGCGACTCTATAACTAGAGTGGACAGGGTACAGTGCCAATAAATGTTTCCACATGTGTATCAAATAGTCAATGAAGGAATTTCAAAAGCCATGAAAACATGAACTATGCTACGAGATATTGAGAAATAAATGTGGTATGAGCCTTTTTTGTTTGTACAATATACATTTCTGGAAATTGCATTTTAAAAAGTACATTTGAGAACCTGAAGCACAAAAGTTCCCCTTATTACTTGAGTGAGATACCATCTCATGACAACTCCATTTCAAGGAGATACAGCTAACAGTAGAGGATGACGCACCTCAAGTGAGTGAAGGGTAATAAAAGAAAGGCCGCAGCAGTATGGAGGTATAGAAATATACATCATCATGCGGTAACGCAGCCTTAACAAGCAGGAAAAGACACTTGGGCGATGTTACGATACCCAAAATCTAAGACAATATCTTGACTCACATCATGATATTGATATAATATCACTCTATTGCCCAGCCCTACATTGAGGCTTTGATTAGCAGATCTCAATAATTATAAATGGAACATTTACTGGATGTGTGCAAAGTGAAATTGACATGCCGAGTCGCTCTGGATTCATCTTCTTACAACACGAGCACACAGCCAGGTTTTGTTCTTACCGTCACTGACTTCAGGGTCATGCCGTGGTAGGTGCCCATGGTGTCGATCTTGAAACCCTCCGTTTCTAAGAAAATAACACAGGCTAAGTTGTAGATTACTGGCAGAACAAAACAGAAGTGTAATAAAATATAATGCCTTAATATTCTATAACCAATTTGTGTACTGATGTTGTATGTAATTTTATGTATTTTCTGAAAAGTAGAATCCCCGTTACAAATGTAACCAAAGGTGCGCAGAGGATAATCATGATGGTATACGACTGCATGCGTTGCAAATGGGGGAAAAGAGCTGAGAGTATAAACAAGTGAGAGGGAGTAAAAGCTCGGTGATTTTTGTGGGGAACTGTACCAAACATAGACGTTTGTTTAAGTCTGTAGAATTCGATGTGTTGGCCTAGACATCTCTTCAGCACGACAATATTTTTCAACAACATTTCGATTAATTGTGCAGCCCTGGTTGAACGCTGAGTCACACATGGCAGGTTTTTACAGTAGATGGACGTGTTGGCTCAGCGGCGCAGTGTCCTGACATCTTTAAGTGGTCAGTGGAACATCAGTGGCAACTGAAACACACTCAACTGTGCTTATTTTTCTACATAATTGTTTCAGGTATTAAGGAGCCCGGGGAATTAAATCAAGAACTAAATGTGTCTATGAGCCTTCTTATTTGCAGTTTCCCCACATCTGAAAAACCATGAAGATTAGGCCAATTAGACTAATAACTGATTAGAAGGCAGCATATGACACGCAATCTACACACTCAATGAAACACACATTGCACTCAAAGAAACAGTCTTAGTGCTCTTTTGATTTGGCGTTTGGCACCTCATGCTTTAATGCAAAGGAAACTTGCAAAAGCAATTTGATCTTTAAAAAAATGTTTTTAATCAGCTGTTGCAGTAGTACGTATAAACCTACGTCTAATACTAAGATAAGAACTTGTCCTTGGTTAAAACAAAGTCTGGTTTCTGAAGCTTATTTATTTTTTCTAAACAGATTAGTTCACATCATCAACAATTGCCGACATAGCACTAAAACAGGCTTATATTTTAAATTAGGATCGGATGAGACCCACACAGACGCCTGAAATGAATTGGTTTGGCCTCTCTGTGTAGCAGACAAAGGCTCCATTCACAGATCCTACACCTGATGACGCACAGCAGGAGCAACAAACACTGGTTTCAGACAATGAATACCTTTTTTTTTTTTCTTACCTTTAAAAAAAAAATCAAAAAAAAAATCACAAGAATCAAACTACAGTGATACTATGAAACCGTGAGGTTTCCCCTGCCTGGCTACAAAGAGATGGCTATGAGCATGTTCACATAAAAGAGGCGGTTTTTCAGAAAATTACCAATTCCATTGTATTCTTATTGAATAGAAGATACTTTATTCATACCATTGCAACCCCGGCGGTGTGAACAGTGGCAAAGTAACGCAAGGCAATGCATACAGTCTGCGAGACTGTAAGTGCACGACTCACATCACACGACTGAAGAAGACGATTAAGATGTAAATACGATATTAATATATGATAAGAGAATATATACAGATTGTTTTAGCGGTTATATAAAAGTTATTCATGGTGCTGTTAGAATGCTGCTGCACTGCACCGTTAATACAGGTGCGAGATCCCTTTGCATGCGGCAGACCAAACTGTTTTGTTTTTTTACACCTTGTTTTATTTAGCAATGCACCGATATTGATTGGCAGCCAACCAGTGTCATATATCAGAGTACTGGGAGAATTTAGATTATAACGCTGTCATGATATGTACAAATGTAATCTTGTAAAATGTAGTTTTTGGCAAGAAACTTGAATAGATACAGTTGTTTGAAGAAGATGTTTTTACAGGAATATAAATAGACATTAGAGAGAGGGAATTACGACCTGTTTAACTTCCTAAAACTAGCTTGAAGCTTCTTATAATATGCAAGTAAAACTACTAACACCGAGATTATTTTTAATCAAAGAAAGTATTTAAATAAATATACAATTATTTATTTCCAAATAATTTGAATAATGTGTTTTCATGCAAATAACCACTATAGGTGATAATAAAGTAAAAAGATAACATTCACACTGACGAGGGATGGTGGAAATTATTCTTCGGGACAATGGTAAAAAATAAAATGAGTCTAGAGCATTGATGTCAATAATAGTTCTTAGAAAGAAGATCAGAATGTGCAAAAATGGCAGGTCAGAGTTCAAATAAATCTGAATCACCCAAGAAAATTGCAAGTTATACATCTGTAGTATTAATAATCGTTCTTGTTATCTTGATTTTATCCGCATTGCGAACAATATGTTAATTAGTCAGCAGAGCTTGCCTGCCTCGGGTAAAGGGAAGCAGTGCTTCTATTTTACCTGCCCCAACATCGAATCTCACTTCTGAAGGTGGTCTGATCAATACAATGTGCATCTAAAGCTCCCACTGTCGTGTGCTTGTTGATACCGGGTGTAAATGGGGTGAATCAAATCCAAGTTTTGTTGACCCACAGATCAATGTTCAGTTAACTACGCTTTCCTTGAATGCCTCGCGCCCATACAGATTTTTTTTTAAAGCTTCCAGATTAAAACTCAAGAATGAAACTCACCCTCTTTTCCTTTGAATCGCTCCTGATCGTATCTGTTGTAGGCAGCTGGGACAGGCTGCTTGTTCCTTAGGGACGGGTCCTGGAAACAACATAAAACACAAACAATTCATTACTTTACATACATGTCACAACACTGTTTACTCAACACCGTAGTAGTTATTTATAGGCTTGCTGCTTGTAGTTATTGTTAAATAACTACAGACAACCTTCCAGTTGATGTCAAGCTTGATATATTTGAGAAAAGGAATGTGAGGAAAAGTAGCAATTGACTGGTTTATCCAAGTCATGCCCTTTTAGAATACAGCTATTAGTCCACACACACATTTACATTAAACCTTCTGGAAAAGAAGAAACTGGAA